ACACAGCATTCCAAAATCTTCTGACTATTTAAATATAAAACCCCAAATTAATAATAATGTGGATGGAGAATGATTCGGACACCTGAGATGTGAAAACATTTCCATAGGCAGCTACAGTGGAAGATTAACCACAATGTACAATCTCCTCAATGCACCCAACACTGGGATGATGGGCACAGTATGAACAGCCAGGGGGAAGAGAGGACAACAGTGGGACATCTTTAAAGAGTGCCTTGTATGGATTAATCAAATCATCTGTTTTTTTTAAGTTCCTTAAAAGTTAGTAGGGATTGCTGGTTGAGCAATCCAAAAAGCATTTGCAATGCTTCATTGCAAAAATAACCAAACATTTATTCAGTAACAAACTAGATATACAGTGCAATACAAATGTATGTCGCCAAACTGCTGGACTGAAGTCAGAAGCTTATTGGACTTTTGGCAGATCGAAGGGATTTTTTCTGTACTTAAAAGCATAAACTATGGGTAAATGTGAATGGATTGCTGATATGCACTGCATATTTTTTTTTTTTTTTACCCTGATATGCACTTTAACATTTGTATTAAGAAAACTGTTATATGCATACTGTATTAATCTGTGTTCCAGCCGATCCCTTACATCAATCATTTTACATTGTACACATACAGCTATGTACGTAATTAATCATTTATTTTTAAAACTATATTCATTAATAATACTAACTTCCTAAACTGACTTCCAGGTATTGGATAAGAGACCTGAGTGAATATATAACTTAGGTGAATAGACCTACAGCAAGTAAAAATTTAACATGCCCGCTTTATAATAGACTCAGTATGAGTATAAATTCAATAAAGTACAAACAATTAATTCAAGAAATGTAAACAAATGGACACATAGTGCAAGAAATTGACAGTCCTATAGCTGCATATAAATCCTTCAAACATCAAAATAATATATTTGCTATTAATTTCAAGTGGATCTCTACTTAATTCATAATTTTTTTTTTGTGTGAAATAAGCAGGGTTAGCCCTCTTCACGGGTAGTCTAACCTTGACCCTGTCTAGGAAATCTCATACCCTATCAAGTCCAATTATGACAACTTCTGCTTCAGAACCATACTTTCTATTTTTTCCCCTGGTAGTAGGTTTCTCATAGATTCCTATGATCAACTTACTACAGGCACACATTCTTGTAGAATTTCTCTGTCACTAGCCCTCCAATGTTTTTTTTTCCAAAGGAATAGACAAAGGATATATTCTTGAAGCTGAAGCCCCAAGTATCATGGCCAGAACGAGAAGGGGTGGAGACCTCCCAACCTGCGTCTCGAACAGCAATAAGTTCCTGATGAGGGATCAGTCCATGCCCAACATCACTTAATAATTTGAAAACAATTATGTTGAATTCAATTTTATTGCTACATATTCTTGGCTGTTACTTGGTATATAACAGACAACTGCACTATAGACTGAATATTTTTCACAGTTTACAAGATTTGACATGTTGACTAAAAATAGAGTTAGGCATCATGAAAAATCTAGGAAGAAAGAGCACCTAGGTTCCATTGTAAAACCATTGGTTGCTATCTGGACCAACAGTATAATCAGCATTTAACTATCGTTATCGTAAAGAAGCAGCAGCACAACCTATGGTGTAATTACGTTGGGGAGCAAAGGTCAAATATTACCCATGCCCTATAGGTTCAACCATGATTGTTCAGCTTGCTTCATTCATTGGTTTATTCATTGATTAAAGTAATAGTCAAATGTGTTTGTATTAAATCCAAAGGGCCCCAGTGGCTCTGCAGACAGTGGCTTTTATCTACGCCTCTGAACACAATCACACCTACAAATTCAAAGTAAAAAATAAGCTAATCTTTTTCTCTATGTTTGTGCTCATGCTTCTTTCTGAGTACTTGTGCATCAGAAATTGCAGATCCTCAACAGGAATAAAAATAGCTTGCTAATGCATGCTAGGAATCAGGGGTTCCAAAGCAGTGGTATTTCGGTCACCTGCTTTTGCTGTGGGTCCTGGCAGACTGCTTTGCTTCCGATTGTCCTCTGCAAGCCGATAAAGGCTTAGGGCCACTGCTATTAATCACGCACAGCCAACTAATGGCTCTCTAAAATATCCAGCCTATGCTGTGAATGGCAGTTTTACAGTAACTGCAGTGCCATTAGTTATCCAGGCTTGCTATTGATAGTTTAAAGCCCAATCAAAACTTCAGTTTGAAGCACTTTAATAATAAGCTTGTCCTGCCACCAGCTGCAGAATGGAGCCAAGTGTAGAAGAAGTGGCCTCTCTGAAGAGGTCCACCATGCCCCCTACTGCATCAGACATATAGCACTGCAATCAGCGAAGCTAATGCTCCTGCTGATTTTAGAGTTTTGACTCAGCAGGGAACATGCCAGATCACTGCAAGGAGACCACTGCTTCCCCACAGAGAGCAAGGGTCCCAATCTGCAGCATGCTGGCATGAAATCGGCTTTTGCACTCATGCTGTGGCTGCTTTTTAAAGAAAACAAACTGCAAGACTTTGCACACCTTTTGTTTTAATACACCTGGAGTGTATTTAGCTAATGTGAACTCAGAGTTCAATTGGACTTTAAAATATGTGGCCATGTGCCCCTAAAAAGGTGACCACTGTCAGTAGTGTAAATGTTGCTTGCATTATGGTAAATGGGGATTGTGTTACGTTTTTCAAGGTAATGTCATAATACAAAAGGTGTTTCCAAAAGGCTCATACAAATCAATTAGAATTACTGTAATCTTTCACTAACTTCAGCAAAACCAGTTTCTACACACTTGCATATTATAATTACTTATTGTATTGTCTTAATAAATAATCCTAATTGAATATATTGTAGATGACAGATTTATCCAACAACATCCCACCATCCCCAGATTAAACTGTGGTCTCTATGCATGGCTCCACCACATCTTTGAATTCGATGGTAACTGGCTGATCATTCTCAAAACTGTCAGGTTCATCTTCAGCATTGAAGTTAGCATAGCTGGTTCCTATAAGCAAAATGATAAATACATTTAATGCATGTATGTAATCAGATCAGATTATGCAAAGTGTTAATAATACATGGTCAAAACAGGAAGTTTTGGGGCTGGGGACCTCTCCTTGGTACCTTTTAACAAAGAGGGTCCCAGCATAGAAGAAGTGTGTAAGAGAACAAGAGTTCAAAGAGAACTATGTGGTAAGTGTTTTTCCCCATAGTTTTCCTTTGGGTCACGGGAGGACATATACTAACATCCTCCCGTGACCCAAAGCTCAGTATACCACGAGCTACAGCTCACGGTATACTGAGACCGTCGCAGCTGGGGGCAGCACAGTGGCATAGTGGTTAGTGCTTCTGCCTTGCAGCACTGGGGGTCCTCGATTCGAAACTCAGCCAGCTCACTATCTGCAAGGAGTTTGCATGTTCTCCCTGTGCTTGCATGGGTTTCCTGCCACACTCTAAAGACATGCTGGTAGGTTAATTGGCTCCTCTCTAAGTTGGCCCTCTATAAATGCATGAGGGATAGGGACCTTAGATTGTAAGCTCCTGAGGTGAATGTGCAACTATGTAAAGTGCTGCGTAAATTGTCAGCGCTATATAAATACCTGATAATACCTCATAATAATAAGCTGCGTGAATTACAGCTGGCTCTGCCTCTAGATAGGCAGAGCCAGCTGGAACTCAGCTTCCTCTGCTTATCTAGAGGCAGAGCCAGCTGTACCCACCCCTCCCCGTCCGTTCCTCCAGTCAGGGCTAGAGGATCGGGGAGGGGGGAATCCCTGACAGTCACCACTCTCTGCAGGGAGATGATTGAGAAGTGAGCAAGTGACGGTATGCATTCACTCACTTCCCAATCTATTGAGCCAACATGTGACAGTTTCATTGTCACACGTTGGCTCGAACTATGAGGGTGAGTGATTTTCACTCATCTCATAGTTCTCCTTTAAGTTTACTTACAGAGATTCAGTCATGTAAATAAAAAAAAAACTGCTGCAGCTATATAGTGAAAGCAGCTAAAGGCAGCAACCTTCCAAAGTCTGTTGTCGTGGCTGAATGCCCAGATGTTCTGACAGGCAAAGCTATTTCTCTTCCAGTGCTGAGGCTTGCCTGCCTATTCCTGCCTCCAGCACATTCCTTTTATGCCAATGAGGTTGCCCATCGTAATGATGGGCCAATAGCAAAGTGTGAGGGCTGGGCTTACAGCCAAACTGACACTTCTCGAAAATGCCAAAACTTTGCCCGTCAGAATGACCTGGGATTTGGCTGTGGCCAGAAGGCAAGGGAGGCTGCTGCAGGTATTCTTGGTGTCTGCACTTTATACCTCCATCAATTTTATGATTTTTTTTTTTTATGAAAAGAGGATTAGGATCACAGGGAGGGTTAGCGTAAGGATTACATGAAAGGTTATTGTGAAGCGATCGTTGAGGAGCGTGTCATTCTCTATGTCAGGAGCTCTGCTTCGAAATCTACCAGCCCTAAATCCTCAGCACTAAACAAGCATACTGTTACACTGATGCCCTTATATGTTTGATAGTCTTAATATTTCTTTTTTGTTTTGCTTTTTATATGGTGGTGTCATTAACAAAGGAATGACTGGGGCCACTTGTACCATTGGGTGAATATTGGATATATGCATGTTCCTGAAATATATATATACATACATATCTACTGTATATCAGAATATCAGAGGACCTCTTGGCCTACACCATAATAACTTGAACCATTATACTCTAACATCATCCATTAAATTAAGATACCTTCAGTTTAAAAAAAAAACAGTGCTATTGGAGATCATTTTGGTCCAAAACATTCTGTGCCAGGTATTAGTTTATCATCTATCCATTCTACTGCTAGCATTCTGGAAAGGTTTTTTTTTTTCCCTCTTAATATTTCCATGTATTTGTAATAAATTCACATACCGGAACACATTGCAAAGCCGGGTTCCTCATTTATACAGGTGACATGATTGTGCCATTCAGTCCATTTTACCTCATTTATCCTGTTCAAAAAACAAACAAACATTAATCATATAAAGTCCACTTCACTGATGGAATAATAAACTGTAAGGTCATATTAATACCATGTGTATTAGCTAAGCACCTATGTTGTCATTGGAACTCAGATCATTACATTGTTTTCCAACTCATATTTATAATTAGTGCACTGGCTTTGGAGGCATAGGAGGCTTCCCATCCCTTGTATGTTACTTTGACTTGTGGCAGGCTTATGAACATAAATCGATATTTTTGGCAGTTACCTTAAACAGGTTCTATTATCATTTTTGGAGACAGTACATGATTCTCCAAGTTGAAATTTTCCTTTTAGCCACATTGGTAAGTTCTTCTCAAACTCCAGTATAGTTCGAGCTCTCTAAAAAGTGAAAAATAAAGGAAAAGACCATTATATAACTTTAATCTAAATTTGTTGTGAATTATTGTTATTATTATTATAATTATTATTATTATTATGATAATGATGTCATGCTATTTTGTGTCATTGTGACCTTCTGATCAAAAGGGTGAAAGAAGAACTCTGGAAAAATGACCACCTCTCTGCAAGGGTTAAGTGCTCGTTTTTGTCTAGAGTGTAAAATAAAAAAGTTATACTCACCTGAACCTCGCAGCCGGCTGCCTGTTAGAGTGCTCCCTTCAGCCTGTCTCCTCCTCCTCTACAGTGATGGTATCTCCCTCAGTATACTCACATCCTATACACAGTGTACTGGATGCGATGACTCCTTAGAATGCTGCAGCAGAGGGGGAGAGAGGCTGCAGGGACCAGTCTAAAAGCAAGCTGACTGTGAGGTTCAGGTGAGTATAACTTTTTTAATTTACACCCTAGATGAAAACAAGCACTTAACCTTTGAAGTGTGGGGGTGCAGCCACTGCAAAGGTTAAGGATAATTTTTCCTAATCTTCTTCTTTCAATTATTTTGTTTTTATTCCCTCTAACAACTACAGAATACATATTTAGCACATTGTAATAGTCTCATTCTCTCTGTCTCAGCAGTAAGGGGCAAACAGATATTAATCACACTGCAGTAATTTTTTAAGACTTCTTAAACCCCAATTTCAGCTGATAAGAACAGGCTGAAAACAATATATAGTTGTGTGTGCTTGTGTACCCTAAATGATAAAAAAATAGCCATAACAGCGCTATGCCCTGGTACAGAAAAGCACATAAAATCAGGGTGTAGATCTGTGTTGGCTGACTGATGTCTGGTTACTCAAGGATAGTACGTACCATTGTTTTTTTTACCATGATTGTCATTTGTTGTACATGTTTTTGTGGAATATATAGTGTGTACAGTGAAGCAAGAATGTGTGGTTTACAAGGTATACAATATACAGCAGCTACATACACGCACCTGCAATCTCCATATGTGCTCACTTTCCTTTGAAACCTTTTCCACAGTTTCTCCCATCAATGCAATCAGCATGTTTAGCAGAAGGACAAATGTCAGAATGACATAGGCAATAAGAAGTAGCAGGAACAGGACTGGGTATTTAGAGTCGTGCTGAATCTCCAGGTCTCCAAGCCCAATAGTGAGCTTAAACAGTTCTACGATGGCTGTGCTGAAACTCTTGTAGGCGCTGCATTCATCACCATCTGTGCAGTTTTCAATCAATGAGGCAAGGGCTATTTTAAGAAAAATATGCAAATGATTGTTTAAATTAATGTTCACTAATGTTTACTAATGTTTATTAATGTTTAAATGAATGTTTACTTTATTATAGTGGTTAATTCCAATTCAAATGATGCAAATCATAACAACTAATGGTAATGCTGTAATAGTCCAAGATACAATGAGGGGAATGGATCAAAACTGGATCAGACAAAATCTGGAGCAGTTGCGTATGGCAACCAATCAGCATCCACCTTTCATTTTCAAACCTTAACTGAAAAAACGGAAGAGAGAAGCTGATTGGTTGCCATGGACGACTGCTCCAGATTGTTCTGCTCCAGTTTTTATAAATGCCCCCTAATATATTCTGATCTACATGCAGCCACTGTTCATAGAGAATAGGTGCTCTATTTACAGAACATTATTGTCCCTAGTATAGAGCTAAACAAATTAGCAATACAAATTAGCAAACTCAACATGAGATTGTAGTCTATCATGGGAGTGAGCTTGGAACAGTGGCTACTTTACAACATACACAGGGACCGTGGAGAGCAAAGCTAACTACATGCTAGAAGGACAGTGTCAGCACCAATTCAGAGATAATTTGAGGCTCTACAGCCAAGTGATACACAAATAATTAACATTTTTGTTAATAGTTTGGGCACTAGAATGCAATTTTGAGATTTAACTCCTGAGTTTAATGTCATTAACAGTGCTATCTGTAAGAAACATCAGATGCACTTACCTACTCCAAACCCGAACAAGAATAAGATGTACACAAATAAGAACTTTAGAACATCATTGAGGATGACCTGGAAGAAAGATAAATGTAAATGTATCAAATATACAAACATTTAAAAATGACTGATGTGTGACCTCTAAATACAAGTGTACCTGTCATATTATTTTGATAATGTTCATTCCTATTAGAAAACTGCTTCACTAGGAACTTGTATCATCATCTCAGCAATGTACAGTATATATGTTTACAGTCATCACCTGTGCAAACAGGAGACTTTGTCTGCAATATCCTGCTCTTCACTAAGAGATTGTGTTTCCTATGCAAGAGATTATACAAAAATACAATCAAAGAAAAGAGACACTTACCTTTTGGATCATTACACTGTAAATTCCCAGGGACTGAAATCCTCTTGTGTAATACAACATATTTGCCCATCCAAGCGCCATAGCTAACACGAGGAAGGCTAGATATTCTTTGACTCCAAAGAGGTAACAGAAAACAGACAAGATAACCAGAACTGCCTGTATGAAACTAGAAAAGAAAATGAAAAAATACTCAGTATTATGCATGCCTAGTTTAATAATAATCATTAGCATTATCAAACATAATAATCAGTTAGATGGATTATCTGGCAAACTTTCACAACAAAGGCAGAATAGATGTTGCTCTGCTTCAAAGTGACACTAAACTCAGGAGTTAAATCTTAAAAGTCTATTCAAGTACCTTAACTATTAATAATAATGCACCTTGTTTGTGTATCACACTGGCTGCAGATCCTCAAATCATCTCTGAATTGGTGCATCATGAAGCGTGTGTGTTGTAAAGTAGCCACCGCTTAATGCTTGCGCCCATGAAGGACTAGAATCTCACATTTAGTTTACTAATTTGTATTGAGATTGTAGTCCATCATGGGAGTGAGCTTGGATCGGTGGCTACTGTACACGCACACAGGGACCATGGGCAACAAAAGTAGCCACCCTCCAGAAGGAAGGACAGTGTCAGCACCAATTCAGAAATGATTTCAGGATCTACAGCTGAGTGATACACAAATAAGATACATTTTTGTTAATAGTAAGGGTACTTAAATGCATTTTTAACATTTAACTCCTGAGTTTAGTGTCACTTTAAGTGCCTACTCACATACTTGTAGGGAAAATGAAAACAACTGGAGGGTTGCTTGAGTCATTCAAGTCACAGATAACTTGAAAAACTCTATTTTCCAGAATAAGGACAGTTTATCTTTTAATTTTCAAGAGGCTGAAAATATTTGATAAGTCTACATGAAAAGTAGAAACCATTTTAAAAGTTGAGGTGCATGACATGACATGATTTGAGATTCTACCAATGGCCATCATGAGACAAGTGGTATTGGGAGGTGAACGCATGTCTATGGATAGCTGATGATAGTCTCCACCATCTTATCTTGGAGATTGAGGGGATTGGACAAGTTGCAAAACCTTGTTTGATCACCGTTTTATTTCACCTAAGATAAAATGGTGCCATTACTCCCTGTCTCTTTCCCCTTGTTCCTTTTTACAGTCTAAAGGTGGCCATGCACTTGTAGATTTTTGAATGAACATTCATATGAAAAATCTCTTCAGAACATTTGATAATGCTATGATTACTTGATGAATGTCATTCCAAATTTTGTTTTATTTTACCATTTGATTTTGGAGTGAATGGAGTAAGGGAAGATCACATTTACTGTTAGAATTCCGTTCGTTCAAGAAAAAAATTACATCGTGCTCCTTCTATTATTTTTGTTATTGTGGCCAATTTGCCCCAATTAGAAAATCGAATGAGGGTTTTAAAAAATAAATGTTGTCAAACACAGTTCTACTGGTGTATGTCCACACCTAACAGGAGCACCTCTGTGACCTAATTAGGGGAAAGCTAAGCCAAAAGGCGTTGCAGTTAGGTTCGGTTGTGTCCATTGCAAGCTACAAAATACAATTTTGCAAATATCTATTGGAATTAACTATCTTTCTTTCCCCATAACCTAAGGCTGATGACATACTCAGAAAGTATTAAAAAAAATATAAAAATAGAAGTTTTTATGCCTAATGGGTGGACCTTGTTACTTACAATAATACATGGAACCACGCATCTGACAGGACATATCGTAGGTCTGAAGGCTTCACTAAGAAGATTACCACACCCTAGACAAGAGACAGAAAACAGGTCACAAAAATAGCAAGTTTTTCTCAAAAAGTCTGCAAAGTAGGCATTATCGTACCTATTCAATACCAGTGGTGGGATCTTGAGACTTTTAGTGAAGCCACAGCCAAAGTTTTTTTTTAGTTTTGGATAGAGTACAAAGTATTAGAACCTCTATCAAGAATATATAATTTTTTGGAATTCCTATCACTTTCTGTCAAGGAATTCTGACAATAGTCACCACCGCAAAAAGTGATAGAGAATCTCCCCAAAAGAATCATACACAGCAACAAAATGTATAGTAACATGGTCACTTTAATAAGACCAACCAAATTTCAGGATACAGTGGTCAGATGACAGAAAATGAAATCCTTTAGGTTGCTGTGAATCATTGCTCTTTGCAGTGGCTGGTTTATTAAAGTTGGAACTTACATGGCCTTATTGAATAAGGGCAAATGTCTAGCTTGAATAAATATCTTCCACATGATGGAAGCTGGAAGATGTAAGCAGGTTTTACACTGGTCAGCACACCCATGTTATTGCTCAGTTTAAGCTTTACATGGGTGAGGCCACATGACATAAAACACAGAGCTATGCAAAGAATTGACAAGTGTAATAATACTTATGCAATGAAAAGAATGAATTGTTTCCATAATTACACTCTGTAATTGGAATGCATTGTGATTACTCACCTCTTTAATCATGAGGTAGGTAGCACAAACAATAATAAACATTTGTCCAACCAGTTGCAGCCAGCCCCGATCATATGTGAGACTTAACGGATATAAAGCCTGTGATAAGAGGAGAAAGATATTAATGGAATGATAATGAAAGGAAATGCCCTTTGTGGCAAGGCCACTTTAGGATATAGGTGGACAAAATTCTTCAGCATCTCTAAGTACCAGGGCTTGGGTGTGTACTGAAAAGATGTATTGATGGAAACATGTAGGCTTATGTCACTGACCTCATTCCTAAAAATGCTAACTGCCTGGCTCTATCTGTTTTCAACACTTTGGGTCACTGACCTAGAACAAACATGAAGAATAGGCATGTCATAGTGAAGTGAACTGTTCCTAATCTTCCAGGTCAGTATCTTAAAATAGACTAATACCAATGGATCCTCGGATAGCCAGGAAAGGAGCATTTATCACAAGGAAAGGTCAGCAGTGGCAACTGATTTATTTCACTAACTACAGGTTTCCTTAGATTTGGAGCAACATCAAACAGGTGTTCTTCTAGCAATGGTTAGTAAATGCAAGGCAACAGCTGTATGATGTTTCTTCCTTCCAGGAATTAAAGGTTTGCTGCTGTGACTTCTCTTGCTCGGCTTACCATCTTTAATGGCAAACTACCAGCCTGTCTATCTTTTAATGACTTGTCACCATGTTTATTTTTTTTTACTGAACGCATAATACAGTGGGCAAAAATAAGTACTAAATGTGCATATGTCCACTTACTGCTTCAAGGGTATGCTTGGAGTACAGGTGATTTTTTTCCTATATATTGACAGCAGAATGAAAGACCTGACTCTGGGGGATGGTGAAGGGATACCAATGGCACTCTGAAGAGGGAGATCTCTAGGCTTTTGAACTATACCAAATTTTCTTCTGGTAATTGTAGTGACCACCAACAGACAAAGTATATATCCTAGATTTGTGTAGATTTTAATGGGACTGGAACCTAATACTTCCCTTTAAATATTGGTTCTCAGCCACCACTTATAGGTCTACTGTGGGTCTTCCAAAATATCGCTGCTAAGTTCAATAAATCTAATTGGGCACCAACCAAGTGCATCTGTTAACAGGTATTATAAACTTGCATCTGTTATTTAATTTAACATCAGCTTTCTGTTCTCGCTTAAATGCTGCAACAAATGTAAAGCTTAAAGTAGAACTGTTGTCAGGCAATAAACATTCAATTTTAAATATTATCTTTACAAGCAGTAAATAGGCTCAAAAAACACTAACCTATGTGGCTACAGGCGCTGTGGAGTATTTCCTGTTCAGATATACAGCAAAAACACTATCACTTTCTCTCTATAGCACCTTTTGCGCTTATCTCCCAGGCATGATTTGGGAGCATGTCAACCTTCTAATCTATAATGTAAACACAGAGCAGATGCACAAGAAGAGGGGAGAGCAGAATGCAGAGACCTCACTTGTACAACTTCTCTGCTACTGTTGTGAATGGATTAATTGGTCCACGTTTCTGCACCCACAGGGCTTATTTTAAAGTCTATTTACTATTTTTTTAAGAATATGTAAATATTTGAATTAGGCTGATGAGTCACCGCTGATAGGATAGCAGGGGGACCTGAACTGCTTATAGAACAAGTTTAGTGATTTTGTTGATAACAATAATATTAATAATGATAATATGCGCTTTGCAAAGTTACTTAGCATTCATGGAGGATTTACCTGTTCTCCACGTGGCCGGTAATAGGAGATTAATGTCAGGGCAACATTATATGTGAGGGAAAGAAGAAAGGACAAGAGAAACATGTATCTTGCAAACTTCTTCCACTTCAGCTGAAGAAGAGTATGGAGGGGCTCCAAAGCCAACAACTCATGGCGGTTCTAGAAAAAAGAAAACCCCTATTATAGAAAATATTTTACACAAATATTTATGGAACATAGAAAGCATGAAACAACAAACAATGTAATGTGTTGGCAAATCTACATAGAAGTAAAGTCAGTGTCCACCTAAATAGAATATTTGTGTGTTATGTGGTTTCTGGTAACCTGAATCACATGATAGCTTCTTATACTGCTTTGGCCTTAGGTGACCCATCCCCACCAAAGTTCCTAATTTCATCCATTTGCAATTATAAAGTCCAGATGATTGTGTTGGCATCCGCTGGCTGATTTTCCATATCGGCCTTTAGAAGGTGCACACATACTACGTGGAGTACACACCACAATGTCAATCACAGATCAGGTAGTGGTATTTGCTCACCATTATAAATAGGCCCCTTTGCTGTCTATTGAAACCTCTTTGGGCTAATAATACACAACCATGGTATCTGCAGTATTTATCATGTTACGGTACAATGCTTTAAGGCAGCAAATACATTGATAATGGGCTGTCAAGACAAGGCAAATGCCCCAAAATAGTACATGACCCAATTGTAAGCACAATGCACCACAACACATGGAAGCAGCACAGATGCATTTCCAGCTACTGTAGCATTGGCACTTCAAGAATGACACTGCAATACAATATCCAAATGTGTTAACATGTGTTGCAGTAACACACAATCTACCACACATTATTGCAACATACAGATCTGAGGGGGCCTGAATCTTGCGATTTGTTATCAGTTAAGAAAGAATTTTCTGTTACAAAGAAAAAGCTGTAGTATCTAACCACACTTTGGGCCTTTTAGCACAATTTGCACAAAATATAATACATAAAATATGACATGTATGAATTGGGGATCTGAATGATAATGTTTAGGTTGTTTTATCCCTGTGTTTCAGTGACATATCCATATATAATAATACTGTAATCACAAGTGTTTTCATACTTACATTAGTGTTGGTGTTATAAACCACAATTTCTAGTAAGGAGTTGCGTGAGCAGGTGTCCACATCTTTCAGGTCATACAGACAAGATGAAACAGGTCCATAGGCCCAGTCTGTGAACTTTCGGGTCAGGACCCTGTTTTCCTTTTCTTTGATCTCCCGACTCAAAATGTAATGTAGTATCTACAAGAGATAAAAATATGTTGGAAACGGATCACTTAAAATTTCAACAATGAACTCTTTGGTCTTCATTTGGCTGCCCTATAAGGTTAACCAATTTGCCAAAGGACAAATCTCTGTTACATTTGGCCATAAACCTATATATCCTGACCACATGTGCCAATAAAGAAGCAGTCATATATGATCTGATACAACATACAAAAACATACTGCCCAGTAGGATAATCACTTTTATAAAAGTATACAGTATATTTGTTAAAATCGTACCTCAGTCTTCCCAGTCTTTGCTGCTAGTTGCATTGGAGTAAGTCCTTCGTTATTTTCAATACTTTCCAAAGACTTGTTTTTACATGTTCGTAGGATTGTATCATACATGCGTATGATAAAGACATTCTGTGCTTCAGAATTCTCTGCCACTGTCACCAGTGCGTGAAGAACAGTGTTCCCCAGAGAGTCCTGGATGGTGACATTGGTCTGGCTGTTCTCCATCAGCAGCTGTACCACATCTGGTTGGTTGGTGCATGCAGCGAGTGCTAATGGTGTTTCTCCTAAGCAACAAATAATACATGTGAGCACACCAGAAGAGAGTTTTCCTGTGTATTTTAATATACTTAAATCACATATAATTAATATTTGTAAAGGAACTCCAATCCATATTGAAAATGTTTCCAATTGCGGAGCTATTTAGATCCCTACATATAATATTTTAAAGGGAAATATAGTCCTTTTAAATTATACATGTGAAAAAAATGTGCATGTACTCTGTACTCTGTAATGCATGTAAGCAGAGCCATTCAGTTACTGCTCCACCATTTAGAAGGCACTTGAGAAGGGTCAGAACTGCTCCTTTTGCTGCCTGCGTAAATCTACTGTAGTATAAGAGTAAAAAGGCTTTTCCCAAAATCGGACAGGTTTGTGTTATATGGTTAGATAAAAATAGTAAACCTTCTTTAGTTTAAAAGCATTACAAATCTGTCTATTCTACACAAAGTTACTAAGCACCCCAATGACCTTGGGATGCACTGAAAAGCAATCATTTAAAGTCTAAGTTAGCTGGCTTGTACATTTCAATTTCAATAGGTCAGCTTATTAAATGATAGATATTTTCTACCATGTTGGTATACAAATGTGATTTATGTTACAGAATTGCATCTTAGCTTTTAATATTTTGTAATCTGTAAGTAAAGAGGATCAGGGAAGAAACTTGCATGTTCATCACATCACACACAAAGAAAAAGATGGTTATTGAAACAAATCCTGAAAAGTCCTATTTACTTACCAAAATAAAATCCTTCATGTTTATGCTTTGGGTTGAAGAATCGTCCTTGTGCCCGTACATTTATATTAGCCCCTTTTCTTATTAAGCACTTGGCAAGGTCACTCTGACGTCTCTCAATGGCTATGTTCAGTGCAGTTTGACCTAGAAATAGATTCAACATACTCAAAATATAATATCTAATTTGTATATATGAGAGACGCAAATATTTATCACCTGCCACCTGGACATAGAAATGCAATTCACATTTTGAGATAGTGTGCGAATAACACTTAGAAATATTTGCAAACAAGAAACTTGCAACATTTTGGGAAACAAAATGTGGATAGGTAAAAAGGGTTAATATCATTGGTATCAGAGTCGGAAAAAAGTTAGCAGCTGGACGCTTTCCAGAAACCAGCCTGGCCCTTCCTTTATTTCTCTGCTGTGTCCAGGTAGGAGAAATGTATCTAGAAGTCTAATCCAGGCCAGGTTCAGGTATTCAAGATCAGCATTACCTGGGCTCTGTCTAATATTATTGATATTGTGAATATTTAAGACCTTTTGGGTTATAAATAATCTGGGCTAAAATCATTTTTCTAAAATGTAAAGACATATTAGTAGCAGCCCTGGTTGACTCCAAAGGAAGCCTGAATTAGATATTGGATCTTACTCATAATTAAATTCTTGTTATGTCACCATCTACTGGTAGACATTGAATATAAAGCTTCTTATGTGTAGACAATTTAAGATACCTAGCATTGTACTCAGTAGAAGGTTAAGTCTATTTTAATGAGCCATTTGGGCTACCAGAGGCTTGCCAAAGGCCTTACTATAGTATACATTCACAGGAAAGCTGAGGTAGTTCACGAATATTCCTCTTTCCACAACAACAATTGGAATACATATTCCTTTCTGTCCTTTTATGCATACAGTATGTCTGGCTTGTATTGCGGACGTGCAGATGCTACTCATCCTTACCTTTATAATTCTCTTCTGTATATGCAGCATTAATTAATCTTTCTAAGAATCCATTCTCCTCAGCGAATGACATCAGAATACACACAATCTCAGGAGTATTGTCATTTATGTTCAATAATGCCTTCATTAAACAGGTTTTTCCAGTATCTTTTGATGTTAATTTGTACACGAAGAAATCTGAAACACAGCACATAATTTATGGGTGTGTATAATAAACGTGAGGGCAACTTACTGGTTGATGTAAAACCTGCTGGATCATTTGTATTACAGTATGTTTTCTAATAGTAAGGCATTAACTTTTGTGTAATTTCAAAAATATTTTTTTTACATTTCTAATTTCTTTAAAATCATCCACGATGACCCTGCCATTAAGGTCCATGTTCAGACACTTTCTTTAATGGAGTGACAAAGCTCTGTCCCTGTCCCCCAATTGCTCTGCTGTGATATGACCCTATCACATGCACTTCAAGTGGAGACTATGGGGTCTATTCACAAAGCTGCCGAAGGATCTGGCCGTAGCTTGGGCCGATCCTTTGGCTAGCTTCGGCACCAGGACCCCTTCGGTTCAGGAGAACCGAGTGCTCAGCCGATCCAGATGTTGGATCGGCTGAGTCGTACTCCTTCTGCACTTCGGATCAGCCGAACATGCTGAGCATGTTCGGCTGTTTCGAAGCCACACGAAGCAAGCCGATGTACGGCTGATTTCAGCCGATATACGGCTGAAATCAGCCGTACCAGCCTGAAGTGAATAGCCGAACAGTGTTCGGCTCACTTCACTTCTGATCGGTCATTCACTCGGCTGCCCTCGGCAGCTTTGTGAATAGACCCCTATAAGTGACTCTGCTTATGCTCATTTGGCTGCTATTACCACCAATAGAAAGCCAGCCATGAGCAAAAACATCCAGCTACCACTGGAACGAGTGCATACAGACAGGATGGAAAGGATGACAAAAAGTTAATTGTAATCAATTTAGGGTTTACATCTACTGTTAGCTATGATCTTTTTAATACAGGTTTGACTATTAAATTAAAATCTGGTTGGATACTATCCAAGTACTATCCAAGTAACACGGGGACTGGTCAGATATTTCCCTACAATATTGGATGATATTATTAAAAGTGACTATATTCTATCTAATGCTCAGGTTACGTCACAGTTGTGCAGCTGATGGTATGACCCAGTGGCTATACCCTGATGGTTCAATATCTCTACAAATTCTGGAGGCAGTCATTAAAAAGTAATTAAGAACAGAAAATCATTCAAAGGGCTGGGTTGGATATTTTCCTATTCACACAGTATTGCAGTTATGATTCTACCTACAGTTTATTATGAAAAAAGCAAAACGTTATGCATCGTAGTATTTACCTTGAGCTTCTTTCTGTGTATATGTGGCTGCTGACTCTTTGGCCTCTTGCAGCAGTCTGTTCAATGACTCTATGTCACCTTCAGAGACTGCTTTGAACAGAAGATTTTTTGGTGGCCTTTTTGGTGTTTTCTTCGGACTTATAGAGTCAACACTTTAAAAACAAAAGAACATTTGTAAGAATAAAAGTTACTTTATAAAAACTCACAAAATCTGTAATGTTGTTTAAAAATGTTTATGTTGTAGCGCATAGAGTTACATATATAACCTCTATATTGTATATGTTGATATTTCCCTACATCCACCAATCAAATCACGTCTGAAAAATGTATTTGGAATCTAAAAGCTTGAATCTGATTTGTGACTAAGGTAAACTGGGACAGATCAGTAATCACACTATGATGCAGATGGGTGGTAAACAGCAGGGATTGGCATCAGTGGCAGAACTATCGCCATAGCGACCCAGACGTCCGCTATGAAGCCCAGGGCACAGGGCACAGGGTGGTCTAGCCAGGACCAGGAACAAAGGGGTCCCCCTGATGCTGTGCAGGCCGCCTGGGTCGCTCTGGCATCGCAGGCTGAGGTCTGTCACTGGCGGCTGTGAGGAGAAACGTGCCACTACCCTTACATAATTTTGCTATGGGGCCAAGATTTATTGGGTCAAGATTCTCAACTCATTTAGTAAATCAGTCTCAAGTGTATGTTGTGGTCTTCAGTAGTCATTTAGGAAGAGAAATGCCTGAATTAGATATTGGATCTTTTTGTAGAACATGGGTGCATATCAAAGAAATAAATGAGTACATGATGGTACCAGAGCACTATTTAAAGCATTGTTTGCTATTTGTAAAAAAACAAAACACAAACAGATGTTAAAAACCATTAACAAGTTAAAAACCATTAACGTGGTTGTTCACATTAGCCTAAATAAAATCATTACAAGTAATTGTATCCATGAACTATTGGGTGCCAAGGATGTACCACTGCCTGAAGGTGGCCCAATATGCAGTTGAGGTATTACCTGCTCTGCAGCACATGTCATGTCAGAGAGGTCTTTCCGTACAGCAAGAGGGATTTGTGTCCGGGAAGCTGACTTTGTATAAAACAAATCATACCTGTATCACAGAAGACTACCAAACATCCACTGCAGATGTTACCCATAAAAATCAATACATTTATTTTAGATACATTTAACTAGGAATAGACCAAAAATTTTTGAGTATATGGGGATACAGCAGAGAGTTGTGATGCACCTGGGGGTGTGCAGTGTCCCGGGTGCACAGTGTTTTTGTTTTTTTATTTTATTTTCAAAGAAAGGCGGCTCCTGTATGGACTCATCAACAACTGCACTGTGATAACCAAAATCTAAAATTTATAATCTAAGAGAATTAATAGAAAAAAAAATAGGAGCTAAAGTGATTTTTAGAGCTAGCTATGAATCAGTTGTTGCAGACAGATATTGGCCCTTTAAATGATTTTAGGGTGAACAGATCTGTACAAACAGGTAGAGCACATAATACAATGTACAGCAGCACTGTATGCAATTTAAAGAAGTCAAGCATAGTTTGTTAAAGTAGATGTAAACCCAACACTAAAATCTCACATAAGCTTTAACATAATATTACTTGGGAAGCTTATTTTACTTTAATTGCTAGTTTTTATGAAAAAAACCCCAATGGTTTATACTAATATAATGACCTTGTTTGGGCTCTTTGTGTTATGTGGTAATAACACTCTGCTCCTGTCATCCACAATATCCTGTCTATAAATCGCCTTGTCACATGTTCTCCCAAAGGAAACTTTGAGCTTCTGTGCTGATCCACATTGCCCAGACATATTACAATGTTGTCACTATTGCACTGTTTTCACAATTAAGAAATACACCCTGTGAAAAAAACACATGCAGTCTGCTTATACTGTAGTGAATGTGAACAAGGACAGAACATCAGTAGCATTAGAATGTAAAAAAAGGATGAAAAAGATAAAAACCCTTCCTTCCCCCTACCCTTAAATTCCTTAACATACACGTCATTTTACTACCTACGAGACATTTAATAAGGCTTTACATCTACTATAAGAAACCAGCCAGTGTCTACATGCCCTACACTAATCTCCCTCTGTCATTAGCAGCACTCACTATGCTTTCCCTACCACAGCTAAAGCACATTATCAATATGGCTTTTGGGAGAAAAAACCTAATAGTGAGCAGACTGGCTTATCCAAAAGCCCCTTACTGGCCCTTCTAGCCAGCTAACCAAAGTTTAAAGGCAGGGTAGTGCAGTGTTGTTCCTGCATTAGTTCGGCAAGTCAACAAACTGGTAAGGTTTGCCTTAAACCCGTGGTAGACCTGAACCTCATCCCTAGTGACAGATAGGACCAAATATGTGTGTGTGTGTTTATACTTAACTGATTAGATGTGTTAGATCATTTTAGTAAGTAGTATGTCGGATGCTCTTACCCATTATTATATTTTTTTAACAAGTACTCTGACACTTCGGGCGAAGTTTGTGGAGAATCAATATCCTCACTTTTCCTGATGTCACTATTTGGGATAAAAATATTAAAAGGTTTATACAATGTACAGAAATGAGTTTGATACATGTTTATATCTGGCATTTGTTTAATAAGGAAACACACTAGACTCCCTAGAAGAAAGTAAAATATTAGCACAAAATAGAATAGTTTTTTTCTCTAATTGTTGTAAGGTTAAATATGAGAGCTAATTTACTGTTTACATCTGAAAACATTCTAAACCTTTTTATGTTCTTTTATAGACAAAGTAATAAATGGTAAATGTTTTACAGGCCCATATTGGGGAACTAAACATTTTTTTTACCGCTTTTAACCACTTGAGTTCCAGGTGCCATTGCCTAGACAAGCATAGTGTCTATTTGTCTCATCTCTATTTTAAAGCGGCACCAGGACTTAGTGGGTCCTGTGGGCCCCCGGCAGCACTAGTGCTTGAACCGCCATCTGTCAGTACAGTTGGAACCCAGCACTGAACATTTCAGCTCTTGGGCTTCTGATCCTTCTACAGATAGCTCCATAGGAGTACTTTGCTTCCACATTGTGTTTACATCAGGAGTGTAGTGACATCATGAGTGATATCATGACACTTTCTCTGAACACAGAGACTCATGAAGAGCTTTTGCAGCTCTGTCTAGCCTCTCCCTGCAGCAGTAGCTCTGACTGCAGCCAGAAATAGATTATTAGAAGTGATCTGTTTCTGCAGACCTGCATTAGGGTTCTGGATCTGGTTTCCACTGACCAGATCCAGACCCCCATGAAGAAGAAAAGTATTTTTTAAAAAAAGGAGACATTTAAAAATAGAAAAAAATGGATACATATATAGTGTGTCTAAAAATAAATAAATACAAATTTTCCCTCTCCAGATTAGTTCCCAGGTTGAAACAACAATGTCAGAAGATCTAGGTGAGATTTGCGTTTCTTGAACAGCCGTTAAATGCTCACAAAAGTACAATGTGGGGATTAATGGGTAACAAAGCTGACTTTGTTGATTGTATGGCAGCAAATTACAGCACTATCTGCCCCCCCCCCCAAAAAAAAAAGCCACAATACATTAGGATAGACTACAAAACCTAAAAAATATTACATGCTGAACCGAGACATCGCCAAAGCAAAAACCAAACAAAAAATGCTATTGGATTCAAGACCTGAGAACTCAAGTTAAGAGCTGAATCCTCATGAATATAGTTTGATAGGGAAAACATTTTACCTACTGCAAGTGCCCTGTCAATGAAAAGGAGCATGCAAACCAAATGGACTGCCAAAGTACCTCAGGCATCAGTTTTGACAAGATCGGCCAAGGTATTGAAGTATTAGCTCATTTATTAGTTTTCCTTCTGCTTTCCTTAGGTATGCTTGCATTTTGGGTCTAGCTGGAGATGTGAAAAAAGAGACCCTAATACCCTCTAAACTCCCTTTGCAAGGAAAGGGAATTTTCCCTTTGTTTAGCTTAGTAAATGAGGTGAAGCTCAGCTGACTTCCATCATCCAATCATGTGCAAGTAATTTGCCAATGGGAGTTCTTTGCAATAGTACATTTTCACCACATTCACTAAGCCAAGGGAAAATTCCCTTGCAAAGTGAATTGAAAAAATTCTTGAAGCGTGAACAGCCTAGGTGCATTTAGTAAATCAACCCCTTTGTCATAAGTTTATGGAAAACAGTGGTACAGAAACCCTCCTCAGTGTGTCTTTGTGCTCTCATTTTAAGTTCCCTTTGAATTGCTTTTGACCTGTTGGTGGCTTTTATTTGCATTTGCTTTGACTTGAATAAGGGGCAAAAACAGTTTAGATGCAGTAGAATGGGATATGCGGTGTTAGCCAAAACCTGAAGCAAAGCAAGCACAGCAATAGACACAATGGAACTCTGTTTCATAACTTACATTTCAGAGCTATCTAAATTGAGGTCCGATTTATGCCTATGTGTTCAATGCGTGTTAACACATGTACACAGGTTTGCCATTGTTTCTAACCGTGTTAGTTTGCATCTGTGTGTTGTCTTGATATGCATTCGTGGGAAAAAGTTCCTGCTCATTTTTTGATTTGTTGATGCCCATTATAGGGACTTTAGATGGGGCAACACATCTGCCCACAGCAATAATAAATGCAGGAAAATGCAGAGGCATAGGTGTAAAGACACCCTCAACATCAGAAGCAAAAAAAACAAATGGTAACATACTTAGGCTCCTACTGGAACAAAGTAGGTTTTTGTGTTCCTAAAATAGCTGTCTATAATTAACTCTTTTGCAATTAATATAAAAGCTGTATGTACAGTTACTCATTCTCTAATGATACATAATATAAGCATGAATTCTTATAACTTCCTCCTGTACCTCAGCTCACTGAAAGAAGAAAATCTTAAAGTTCCATGCTAGGAAAGTGCTGAAATATGTGTATAGCTAGTGGAGGTACCATTTATAAACACATATTACATACGTTTATATAAGCTTTATAACCATAGCTTGATCATTTACTTAGATCCACTGTGGGATATTATGTTTAAGGACCATGCTATAGCTTGTATGTAGGGGGTTTAGATCACAAATGTACACTGCCTGGCCAAAACAAAAATAAGCCACACACTCTAATATTTAGTTGGACCACCTTTAGCTTTAATTATACAGGATTGATGTAGCGCCAACATTTTGTGCAGCGCTTTACAATATAGGGAAGACATTTGCCGTGAAATTGTTTCTATAAGCTTATGCAATGTCACAAGATTTATTTCTGTCCAGACTTGCATTCATTTTTCGCCAAGATCTTGTAGTGATGATGGAAGGAGTCTGACCGCTATGAAAAGTCTTCTCCAGCACATCCAAAAGATTCCAAATGGGGTTAAGGTCTGGACTCTCATGATGTCTCATGCTCCCTGAACCACTCTTTAACAATCTGAGCCCGATGAATCCTGGCATTGTCATCTTGGAATATGCCAGTGCCATGAGGGAAGAAAAAAAATCCACTGATGGAAAAAACCTGGTCATTCAATATATTCAGGTAGGCAGCTGATCTAATTTTTTGGGCATATAACATCGCTGAACCTAGACCTGACCAACTGAAGCAACCCCACATGATAACACTCCCTAAAACAATGTGGTGACCTTGTTTTTTGGCCATGCAGTGTATTTAAATGCTCACATAAAATATAACAACTAAAACCAGTTTTAAGCATTGCAGAGAAATGACTTCCTTTCATTATACGTTTTAGTATAATAAAGACAGGTACTCACCAATGCTTTATATTGGAGTCCATAGGTTTGGAAAACACAGGGAAAGAAGATTTGCTGGGTGCCACTGGGAAATCAGTGGTGTCACTGTAAAAAGAAGTTTCTGTAAGTATGAGATCGAGATGAGGGAGCGACATAATAAAAATGTAAGTGACACAAGAATAAAGAAATCAGATTGTGTATGTAAAATTCCTCCTCTGCCTATCCTATGTGCTGGACCTCCTCCGTTGGACTGAGCATCTCCTGTAATCAACAGGTACGGTAAGTGGCATTAAGGGCAGAGCCAGCCTGATAGTGCCCAAACCAGTTGTGTGGCTACAGGAATGAGACAGGATTTGCCTCTAAATGGGTTTGGTAGTATCATCAAATGTTGTCAAACTGCATTGAAACTAATTTTACTCAGCCTGATCCTCCCAATGAATAGGTATGCCAATGTTAATTGAGTTTCCTGATTACTCTCTATCATAATCTTCTGGCCTACAGTATATGAAATCTGACTATTAATAGAATCTATCCCTGTTGCAGATATTACCTCCCTGTGACAGTAAGTGAGGGGAAACCCAACGGGGTCTAATCTTTCCAGTCCCTATGCAAAACTAAAAAAAATCTTTAGCTTGGCTTAAACTTTAAAGGCTAAATCTACCTTTCTGACCATGTTTCATTTGAGACCCA